TGTATTGTAAAAATATTACCTCAGTTAATTTTAATGTGTAGTATCTAGTTTGCCCCAAACCATAATCTGGTATATGACAGACAAGAAACAAAACTATAGTTATGGATCTAAACCAGTGACTGTAACCACTCCCTGTAAATGTAGGCTTTTAAATGGACATCCTTTGTGCTCTCTTTCTTTCTCCCTCTCTCCTTCCCCCTCCCTCCTTCCTTTTCTCTTGCTTAATGCTAAATGGCTTAATGACTATAGCAATTGCTAATGGAATATAATAAAATTTCACTACTTTCATTTTAGCTTTAATTTTTACAAAGTCCACACTTTTATGTCTGTCTGTTTCTAAAGTTTTGAAGTTGTAAAGTAAATACTTGTTCCATCCATGCCATTAAACTCAGTATGTAAAACATTTCACTGGTCTATGGAATCATTTGTGAGAATTATTTCACATCTGGAGTTAGGAGATAGTAATAGTACACTAAATATTATAAGCAGGTTTGAATTATCTATTAAAATGTACTCATAAAGTCAGCAGAATTATTATATGGTCTATGTTTGTATGATTTAACCCCCCCAAAAAAAATTTCAGTGACATTCTTTGTATAACTCTTAAATGAAGTCAAAGTTAATAGTAGAAAAATAGTATTTATTTACAAATAATATGATTCATTTAATTTGAGATAACTACGCAAAGTGACAGATATATTCACATGTCTGTTATAGTCAACTTAAAAATGTATACAAATACAATGCTATCATGTTGTGCACCATTAGTATATGCAGTATTTGTTAACCATACTTTAAAAGAGTTTGAGGAAGGAACCATTTAACATATGCTTACAAACGTCAAGCTTTGCTGTGTGGGGGAGATACATGCCATCATGTATAAATATCTTCCATTTTAAATTTCTTGTAGACAGTGTCTACCCTAGTAGACATTACAGACACATCAAGGAAAGACATCAAGCCTGACTTGAAAGTGCAAAATACACAATAATGTTCCCAGGTATTGAGGGTTGGAACTGGATCACTGAAGTACTAACAAAGAATGCCTAAACATAGACACGGTCAGCTACAAGCTGTGACTGTGTGGCTGGGGTCTAGTAATGCTAACATATATCAGGACAATCAGTCACTTTTCACACTCATTATCAAGAGTCTTGAGTTACATAAGCTTTAAATTTTTTCATCATAGTTTTAGTACATATAAAAGGGTATTGATAGTGTATTGCAATGGCCGGTGACTAACAAGTTTAAGGAAATAATTCCCATGTAGTGGTTGCTCACATTGCAGAGAAGTTACACTGTCATCTCCCTTGCCTACTGCTGTGGGTTCTTCCTAACTTTTGAGATAAGGATTAGAAAAGCAATCACACACAGCAAAGAGGCTTTTCTCTTTGTCCATATCCCCACATCCACAGCAGAAGGTAACTGCTAATGTTATTTCCATAGCAGGGGAACTATTGTATAAATGAATGACACATCCACCTGCTATTTTCTGTTATAATTTATGATATTAATATTTTTGCCCCTGTCATTATTCATCTTTGTAAGATTAAAATTTGAAGACATTCTGGTTGTATTTTCCTGACTTGGATTTACTCAAGGTTAAGTTAGTATTGCTTTCTTTTCACTTACCCTTAACAGGGATTAAGAGATTTGTTGGGTCTATCAGGGTTTAAGAGGAAGCATAGTCAAATGCTAACAAGGCCTTTATTCTTAAATAAACATACTTTTATGCTGCCCAGATGCGCAGACTCTCTTGGGTACAGCTTGATGATTTTTAGCTCTAAAATAAAATATTAATCAATGAATTTTGGTGTTGTAGAAATAATTGGTACCTGTTCTAAATAAAGTATTGGTAAAGCACGATTTGACACCTGGAGTAAAAGGAGCACTTTTAGACACACATTTTCATTAGATTATGCCACCTCAGTCATGCTATCATGTACAAAGGCTTGGGTCATCATTTTCATGTCAAATGGTTTAATCAGAGCCAAGTACTGAAAGGAATGGAAAGGGCCTATTTTCTGTAGCACAACAGCTCCCCCATCTTACAGACTAAAGAATACAAACTTGAATTTTTCTTTTTCTTTTAGTAAATACTATTAATCATGTCCATGTGATTTTTTTTTTAGTTCATTTTCTTTGGGAACAAAAAGAACAAAAGTGAAAACATATCAGATACATGTGTTCTCAACATAGTCATTTCTTGTTTACGATCTCATGAGAATATGTGAATTGTTGTACAGCACTGAGACAGATCTCTGTGACGGGGAGGTTGGAATTCATTTGGAATGATGAATAAATGTGGATTGGTGAAGATTTTGAACATGTTCTGGGAAACTAAAATTTGCATTTACTGGCTAGTATCATTTAATGTGAGATATTTCCATTTGTATACTTTTTCAAAGGTTTTTTTTTTTTATAGTTTGATCACATAACAATAAGACCCAGTTTTCATCATAGAATTAGTCCCACTAAATATTTAAGCAAACATTTGCTCTCTTTTTAGATTTGCCCAGCAGCTGTAGGTGAAAAACACCATCACTCACTTCTCCCTCCCTTGGGGGCAGAAGTGACTTAACTACCAGCCCTAAAAGCTGTTTATTCAGCACAGCCAAGGTGAACTTTTTCCCTGGAATGTCTGAAATCAGACCTGAATATACAGAATACTTTTTACAGTATCAGAAAACAATTTTCATGTTAAAATTTCTCAGTCATGAAAGTTCCATCAGCTTTAAATCCTAAATACTGCAGGTTTCATACACCTTTCAGCATAAAGAAAACATAAAATACATGAGAACAAGGAGAAAAAGAAATCCTTGCCACATATTACATCATAATAAGAAATATATTGCAGGGACAGAAGGGTATCATATTATATAGTATAATTCTGTAACATTAGAAGTTAGAAGATTTTCTTTTTTATTTCATGTGCTTCTCTTTTTTATTGAAAATAGATCTTTTTCCCTCATATAATATGTCCTGATTATGGTTTCCCCTTTCTCACTTCTCCCAGTTCATTCCCACCTCCTCTCTTATCCAGATCCACCCCCTTTCTGTCTCTCACTAGAAAATAAATTAAGAATAGGACACACTGGAATAAGACAAAACACACAAAAGAAAAGGAGCCTAAGAAAAGACACATGAAACAAATATAGATGCAGAGACCCATGTGTTCAGACACTCAGGAATCCCATAAAAACAATAAACTGGAAGCATAATATATATGCAAAGAACTTGTAGGGTAAAAAAAAGAAAAAGAAAAAATATATATAGTACTAAAATTGTTTTTAAAAGACCTGACATGACATGATGAGACAAGGAACCTCCAATGATGCCATTTAGTTCATTTTCTGTTGGCCATCTACTCCTAAGCCGTCTGCCCCAAAGAGTAGTTTGTTTCCCCAGTGAGACTCACTTGGAGGAAACTAAATTTTCATTTGCAAGTGGATACCAACTGAAGACAGCTACAGGGTTAGGAATGGGAGCATCTGTCGACTTCTCCTTTCAGCTCCAGGACAGCATCTGGTACAGACCTGTGTAGGCCTTGTGCATGCTGCATTAGTCTCTGTGAGTTTATATGTGCTTAGATCCTGTTGATTTAGAGGGCATTGTTTTCTTGGTGTCCTCCATCTGCTTTGGCACATATACTCGTTTTTGTCTGCTCTTCTGCAGGGTGACCTGAGCCCTGAGCAGAGGGATTTGATAGAGACATCCCTTTTAGTCCTGAGTGCTCCAAGGTCTCTCATTTTCTACACAATGTCCAGGTGTGAGTTTTTGTATTTGTTCCCATATGCTGCAGGAGGAAGATTTTCTGATGATGGTTGAGAAAGACACTATAAGTATAGCAGAATATCATTAGGGGTCATTTAATTGCTACTTTTTTTTTAAAGAACCGTAATATTTGGTTTGACCCTAGATCTTTCGCTATCTAGTCTCAGACTCTCAGTCACCGAAGCAGTGGAACATACGGATTCCATCTTGTGGAGTGGGCCTATTTTAAATCAGATATTGGTTGGTTACTCCCACAAGCTCTGGGCCAAAATTTTACTAGCACATCCTGCAGGCAAGACACCATTGTAGAGCAAAGTGTTTGTGGCTCACTTGGTGTTTACATTTCTCATTTGGTGGCATGCAGAATACCTTCCTGCACCAAAGGCAATAGTGCATGAGGTGAAGACTCTATGTAGGCACTAGCTCAACTTCTCCACATTCAAATGTTGTGTAGATACTATCTTCAGCAATGGGGCCTGGCCATCAGTTTGTGGAGAGCAACCTATAGTCTAGGCAACACTATGTGTTGTTTGGGAGCTTGCAAGAGACTCCTTCGGCCAACAACTTAATTAGATACAATCCAATTTGGTACTGGAAGCTTTGTTTGAAGACAGAGATGCCCAGTTGGGGCTTTGTCTCCCTCCCCTTTTTCAGTGATTTCATTAAATTCCCCATCATCAATGTATTTATTATAAAAGCTTCTACTATATTAGAATTTCATACAACTCTTCAAATGGTCCATAAGTTCAGCTGTCTCTCTCCATATTTTCTTACTTGTCCCCTCCTTCCTTCCTCTTCCCCAACTGATCCTCCCATTCTGTCCCATTCAACCATCCATAACTCCCTATTCTATTTCCTTTTCCTACTAACGTCTGTCTTGCTACCTATTTCAATTACTCTATGCCTAATCTCTGTGGGTCTATCTGCTTTAACTTGGTTTTCCTTGGTTTAACAGCTAATATCCACATATCAGCAATTACATACCAGATTTGTTTTTCTGGATCTAAATTACTTCATTTGGGATCTTTTTTTCTTTCTAGTTTCATCAATTTACCTGTAAATTTCATTCTTTTTTAATGGCTTAGTAATATTCCATTTTGTTTAAATGCACCACATTTCTTTATCCATTCATCTGTTGAGGTACATCTGGGTTGTTTTCATTTTTTAGCTGTTATGAATAGAGCAAACAATGAACATTGTTGATCAAGTGTCTCTGTGGGAAGATGTCCTTTGGTTGTATGCATAAGAGTGGTACAGTAGAAACTTAGGTAGATTGATTTCCATCTTCCTGAGAAGCCACCATGCTGATTTCCTTAGTGATTGAACAATTTTTCAGTCCCACAAGCAATGAGTGAGTATTCCCCTCACTAGACACCCTTGCCAATATTTGCTTTCACTTGTCTTTTAGTTTTTGCTTTTTAATCTTAGCCATTCTAATGGGTATAAAAAGAAATCTCAAAGTAGTTTTGATTTACACTTCCTTGATGACTAAAGATGTTAAACATTTCAACAACTGTTTTTCAGCCATTTAAATTATAATTCTGTAACCTTGTAAAAGAGACTTTCAAATCCCTTAGAAGCATTTATCTTATTTTACTTTATATATAATTAGTTTGTATATTTATGAGACATAGTGTGATTATTATATATATATATATATATATATGAAGAACAATTAACATTTCCATCTCCTTTGCTCAACATTAAGAGCCATTACTGTTCCAGCAGAGTACCTGAGTCAGGCCCCAGCACTTATGTTAGGTGCCTCATAGCAACCTGTAAATCCAGCTCCAGGTAAACCAGTGTTTCCACCCTCCATAGTTACTGAACACATGGGCAGATACACATATATGCACATGCATGCTCTCACATACACATAGAGGGAGGGAGAGAGGGAAAGAGGGATGGCTCTGCCTCCCAAGTGCTGGGATTAAAGGCATGCACCACCACCACCCAGCTCTTTTTTTTTTAAGAATAGAATATATAACACATCAGTGCAAAGTGTAGTGACATCACTGTGCTGCACTATTCTACACTCCTATAGATAGTCACTAAAATATTTCAGCTTTCACTTGAGAGAGAATGTATTCATCCATCTGTGGCTGCTTTAAATCACTTACCATAAGCCCTTTAAATCACTTATGTTTTCCCAATCAGTCACAAATGTGGCTCTATTTACAGAACTAATCAACCCCTTCTCCCTACCCCATCTCTGCCATACAAATCCCTCCACTAGCACAACATGCTTGGAGAGATTTCGAGAGGGAGTATCCTGGTCAACATTGTGGAATCCCTAACAAGAATAACAACAAAAATGTCATATGGGGACACTTCTGCATCTTGCAGTCATTGGCAAGCTAGAACCAGCTTTCTGGCTGGCTGAGGTCAACTGTGCATAATTCTTCCCAACTCTTTGTTCAATGATCTCATACAGCAATGCAAAGTCAGCCGAGGTTGAATCTTTTCAATCACAGATATCATTAGAGTTATCAAGGGTTAGAGCTAGGGTTATATATACAAATCATTCTTATTTTCTTCCTGAATATTTTTGCCAACCTGATTACTAAACATTTGTTAGCAACAAACAGCTTATTCAAGTTCAAACCTATGAATTGCCTATGAGTATCAATATCTTCTTTTTTGTGCTTCTATGGCGTGTCAGTTACTGTGTTCCTTTGTAGTTGCTCTGCCTCACAGTTTTCAACTCTTCTGTAGTAGACCTTTGCTCTAAATTACCAGAGAAGGAGACTCATATAGTTTCTTCTGTTATGAATAATAGGCATTATGAATAAAATACTTGAGAGTCGGTCTAAGGATCTGATTAGCCATTAAATCTACTTCTGTCAATTCTCAAATCTGACTTTTTTTTCTGTCTCAGACTCACGCATTTTATTTCATGTTTACACAACAATAATTGTTGTTGTGGAATCTTTTTAAAATTAATGTTCAGTTATCTCTTCAACTTCAACACTAATGCACAAGTAGTTCCCAAATAGAAGTTCTTATCTATTATACTTTGACATGGACCAAATAAGTTCACTGCTGATTATCAAATTAAAATTCCTTATCAAGGCATAAAAATGTTCACTGTTCAGAAACAGACATACCTCACATTGCCCTAGAGTGTACTGAATTCAATTACATATTTAAATGCTTCCTTTTCATTCCAGAACATGAGCCCTTTACGGTAGTGATGCTCCATCATTATGTTTACTGCAATCTGCCTAAAATCAAGAAAACTGGGCAGTTCTAATTTTCAGAACTCTAATGATTGACCACTAACCTATGGGTTAATAAAAAAAATCCAGTTTACTCTGTTTTCAAGGGAAAGTATTTTTTAGAGTTATTATAGTTTTTACTGCATTTAAATTCAAGTACAGAAAGTTAGCTTGTGATTTTAATTATTTTTTATTTTAAATTTGCAGTTGAAATAGTTATCTGCAGATTACTGTCAAAATTAGATTTCTATCCATGTAAATTCAAATACGTGTGAATGTGAATGAATGGGATAGTTGTGTGGGAGCAGTGCTCCTGCACGTGCAAGTGCATGAGTGTGTGTGTTTGCGTGTGTATGTGTGTGTATGAATGTGGGAGTCAGAGGACAACTCTGGGTGCTGTTTCTAATGAGCTGTGAACTCATCTTGTTTCATGACTCAGAATTTCTCACTAGAACCTGAAATTTTAATTGGGTATTTGGGACCGATCTCAAGTAATGATCCTTGCCTGGAAAGCACTTTACTGACTGAGTCATTTTACTATTCCCTAAATAGGATGGTTTTTAAAGTAGTTATTACAGACAGGCATGTATACTTATAGTAATTTTTGAAGTAATACATTATTTCTTGTATATGCATACCTAATATGTATTAATCATACACTTATTTGAATTATATGGACTAGTTAATGACTACTGCTACTATATATACTTCAGATATAGGAAAAATGTCTTCAAGATTTCCTTCTGACCATAGCCGCCAGGATTGATGAGGTAATGTAATCCTTACACAAACAATAGAGGAGGAAAATAATTTTCACAACTCTGAAATAACCTTCCAAACATCAAGATCCTATTTTATTCTAAATGTAATCTAAAACTTAATATATATGTTAATTTTTTTCCTTTCTTAGGTTGTAAATATCACAAAACATGTCAGGATAGGAATATGCACATGAAAGCATAGGTGCTACATGTTGAATTAATGATAAATGTCAATTTTCCGATTATAATTTTGGGTAAACAGTGGTACAGTACAATCAAATGTCATATTTGATAGAGAAATTACTTATTCAGTTGGAGTTAAGCTTAACACACTGCGTGTCAAGGCTGACTCATCATCATTTCACAGCGATGATCCCCACACTGCTAGAAACAACAGAGAGAACAGCTGGTCAGTGGCTTTGTATCAGGATTGCTGAGTGCTAAAAGGATCTATATCATCCTCTTGCTTTGCGGCTCCTGGTAGCCGTTCTGTTTCACCTGTTAAACACTTCTTAGTTTAAGAATAGAATAAAACATACTTTGACATATGACCTACCAGGCTGGGCAATCTGTTTCACCCATGCTTCATGTGTCTAACATATGCTCGGTTCAATATTAAAATAGCAGAGAAAAGCTTGCGGTTTCTGGAAAAAAAAATCGCAAAATAAATGATTAAATGAAGTTGGTTCCATTCCTTTATACATTTCATCATCAAAGGGATAAGTAAAGCAAATAGTGTTGGAAACGAGAAAACACAATTACAGGAAGTCTCGTTGTCACACCATGTCTAATAAAAACTCCTTGTGTATGTAAATGTGATCGCACAGAGTCGGAAGGGCAGCCCTTGTAATGGGGTCCTTACTGACACTGCCCCACGTTTCATCAGCTGGGAGATGAGACACAGACACTTTCTTTGCCAGAACTAAACAGAACTTGTTCAGAACAGTGTCCACTCTCTCGGGCTGTGCTCAGTATTGTCGCCTTTCAGTTTCAGCATTTACTTTTTAGGGCACACCATAGCAAGGATATATTGCAATGACGCAAAACAAAAACAAAAACGAAGAAAACAGACTCCCACTGGGAGATTATTTTATCCCTGAAAAGCAAAGCATGCACAACAAAGAAATAGTTATGAGTCCATCTGTCCCTCAAAAAAAATAATAAATAGTAATAAAAATAAAACAGAAAACAATTGTTTCCAGAAAAGCAAAATTAAAATTTTTAAATTAAATAATGTTTTCATTTATCCTTTGAGAGTTCCATACACTCTGTTTTAGTCACATTATTGTCTTTCCCCCAATTCTTCCCAGGTCCTGCCCATCTCCCTACCTATCCAACACTCCCCCTATTCCTGCAGAACTTAGTTTCTCTGACTGTTCCTTGGTGCATCACCTGTCCTGGAGTGTGGTTAGTATAACAGGTGTTACTCTATTGAAGAAAATGAACTTTCCTTCTTCCAGAAGTAATCAAATGTGAATAGCTCCTCAACCAGGGATGAGACTTCATGCCCATCTCCACTCTTCAGTACTGGGATTTTGTCTTGCTTGAGCTTGTGGTCTTGTACCTTTTTGTGTCTTGAAAACACTGCTTTCCTTGAAATCAACCATGACCTGCTCTGACTCTTACAATCTTTCCACATCCTCTTCTTCATAGATCTTTTGGCCTTGAGCAGGGCATATGGTACAGACTCAGGGCTGAGCATTGTAATGTTTCTTGTCTTCTGCATGTTCACATGTTGTGGGTTTCTGTGTTAATTGTCATCTACTGCAAGAAGAATCGTCTCTTGTCCGGCCTGAGTGATGCATGGATCTGTGGGTTTACCTATGAATTAACACAAAAAAGGAAACCAATGCTTGGGGAGACCTGCATGTTACATACCATCTACTTCTCTTCCTCACAAATCTAAATGGACATTTAGATACATGTGACTGAAAAAAACAAAACAAAAAAAAAAAGTTATCTTTGTAGAGTATAAGACAACATTTTGGGCAGCAAAGAATTAGCATTTGAAGTTAAAATAGAATTTCTAGATGATAAATAGATGAAATTGTTAATGTAGCTTTGAATGATTATTAACTTATAATTGGCCTTCATTTTTTAAGTCCTACATCTATTTTCTTCTTCCTAGATATATAGACCCTTTTACATAAATGAAAACTAGGGAATCATAACAAAGCTCATTGAATGAAGGCTACTCTAGGTCTTCCTAATTATGAAGCATGTTATTTGTAAAATAAATAATTAGTGCAATTGCATATAAATGCATCTATAGTTTATCAATATAACATGCAATCTATACAGTCTATAAATTTTCCACCAGAAAATGTAAAATTAATGTATTTGTGAAACTATAAGATAAATGCTCATTTATTTGTTTAAAAACCATAAAGAAAGGTTTTACTCACATTTTCACAATATATTGTGTTCCTTTTTGCTGGATCTCAAACTTTGTCAATTTTAAATTTCTTGTTTCTAATACATTCCCACAAAAAGCAAATATTTTGTACTATTTTTTAAAAATGTATTTCTTATTTTAAATGGTTGCAGTTTTACAAGTCATCATGTAACTGTTGTGTTAAAAACATATCAACCTAAAGGAAAAATAAGGCAATATTTTTGGCATATCTATGCAAAATCAAAAGACATAATGGATGATAGTTTAAGTTGAGATTAGAACTAAACAAATTCACGTTAAAGACAGCAAAAATAGTATTGCATAAAAATAAAATACAACTTAATTAAAAATATTTGGCAATAGCTACATTTACTATGAAGTATAGATATTAATGAAGATTATAATCTATTGGTAAGAAAATATTTAAAATATTTTATAATGCTTCTGTACTCTTATTGTACAATGTCCTCCCAAATATCTGTTAATTTACTAACGATTAATATGATCCAGTATTTATTTTCCATTCAAGCAGTTTTAGCTCCCTCTAAAATGGCCAAGACTTAATAATAAGTTCAAGATTCAAGGGCAAACTCAGCAATATTTATGGAAGGATCTTTAATTGTGTTCTTTTCAAGGCAGATCTCACCAAAAGGACAGGTATGACACCTGTTCGTTTCTAATATGTTGAGGTAAAATGTAACTCAACAAAGCAACATCAGTATTCACAACTTCACCAATATTATCTCACCCAAATTTAATACCAAGGAAAATAAAAGTGTCAGTGGAATGTCTTTGCCATATTTCTGAAGAGTTTAGTATCATTTTTTTTACTTCCTCCATTCTTCTTTATAATAGAATTGACCTAGATACATTAGCAGAAGGAAACTGCTCCCCAGTTGACAGACCCACAACTAACCATACAGCCCACCACTGCTGTGGTTTCAAATCCACCCTCATTTTCAGCAGGTAATATCTACTTTCACAGGCACCATGAAGAGGGTTCTGAGCCTCAGTGAGGGCACAGATTCAATATCATGGCTGGTTTACTCTTATTTAAAGTGAAAACTTGTTTTTTCTCCCTCTTACTATGTCTGCTAAGAGACAGGCACAGCATTTCAGCTATGGCATCCAGTGATTTGGGGAACAGAAAATGTATATATTACCCATTCACTTATTCACAAAGCAATTTTTGTGTTTTTTTTTAAGTAGTGGCCTTTTTTCCCTTTTATTTTATTTTATAATACCATTCAGTTCTACATATCAGCCACAGATTCCCTTGTTCTCCCCCCTCCTACCCCCCTCCACCTTACGCCTGTCAGAATGGCTAAGATCAAAAACACTGAAGACACTTTATGCTGGAGAGGATGTGGAGCTAGGGGAACTCTCCTCCACTGCTGGTGGGAATGCAAGCTTGTACAACCACTTTGGAAATCAATATGGTGCTTTCTTAGAAAATTGGGAATCAATCTCCCCCAAGATCCAGCTATACCACTCTTGAGCATATACCCAAAAAATGCTCAATCATACCACAAGAGCACTTGCTCAGCTATGTTTATATCAGCATTGTTTGTAATAGCCAAAACCTGGAAACAACCTAGATGCCCTTCAACTGAAGAATGGATAAATAAATTGTGGCATATATACACAATGGAATACTTCTCAGCAGAGAAAAACAATGACATCATGAGGTTTACAGGCAAATGGATGGATCTAGAAAAAAATCATCCTGAGTAGGTAATCCAGACTCAGAAAGACAAATATGGTATATACTCATTCATAGGAGGATACTAGATGTGGAACAAGGATGACTGAACTGCTATTCACATCACCACGTAGGCTACCTGGAGAACAGGACCCCAAGAAAGACACGGGGATCGCCCAATGACGCAGAAATGGCTGAGATCTACATGAACAACCTGGACATGAGTGGGAGTAATGAAGGGCAAGGGTCGAGGGAAAGAGAGCCTGTGGGAGTGAGAGATCCCAGCTGGATCAAGAACAGAGAGGGAGAACAAGGAATAGGAGACCATGGTATATGAAGACCACATGAGAAAAGGAAGAAACAAAGTGCTAAAGAGGCCCACAGAAATCCACAAAGATACCCCCACAAAAGATTGCTGGCAATGGCCGAGAGACAGCCGGGACTGACCTACTCTGGTGATGAGATGGCCAAACACCCTAATAGTCGTGCCAGAAACCCCATCCAAGGACTGAGGAATCTGGATGCAGAGATCCACAGCTAGGCCCTGGGTGGAGCTCTGGGAGTCTAATTATCGAGAAAGAGGAGGGTTTATATAAGCGAGAACTGTTGAGACCAAGGTTGGATAAAGCACAGGGACAAATAGCCAAACGAATGGAAACACATGAACTATGAACCAAAGTCTGAGGGCCCCCAAATGGATCAGGCCCTCTGAATAGGTGAAACGGTTGATTGGCTTGATCTGTTTGAGAGGCATCTAGGCAGTGTTACCAGGTCCTGTGCTCATTGCATGAGTTAGCTGTTTGAAACCTGGGACTTATGCAGGGACACTTGTCTCAATCTGCAAGGAGGGGACTAGACCTGCCTGGACTGAGTCTATCAGATTGATCTCAGTCCTTGGGGGAGGCTTTGCCCTGGAGGAGGTGGGAATGGGGGGTGGGCTGGGGGGGAGATTTTAGTATCATTTTGATGGACACATTTTCCTTATTTAAAAAGAAAGTTCTTTGTGAGTCTGATTCTTTGTAATATATTTTAGTGAAACTGAGTCATTTATTACATGACTTGAAAAAGATAGTTTCTAATAGCTAGCTTACAAGGCAGTCCTTAATACCACTAGACAAAATCCAAATCAAAGTATTTCAAAGACTTATTTATTTATGTATTTAGTGTGTGTGTGTGTGTTTGTGTGTGTGTGTAAGTGGGAGGGTGATTTTGTGAGTGCCTGAGGACATCAGAGGAGACAGAAAGAATGTGCTGGATGCCTCCTAGTGCTGAATTTCAGATAGATGTGAGCATTCTGACATGGCTTCTGGGAACCAAACCCTGGGTCTGGGCAACTGCTGTCAGCTGCTGATTCATCTTTTCTTCTGGCTAAATATTTGAATTTGTCTAAAATCCAAAACTCTAAGGATTCAAGCAATGTGGCTGAATGATTTCCAATGCTGTGCTTTGCATTGCTTCACAGGGAAGTAAGACTATTTAGATATTCCAATGTTGCTTTCTAGGGAAGTAAGAGTTGGGGATTGTTCATAACTTGAAGAAGTTTCACAAGAGACAAAGAAAGAGATATTTGTATTTCATAAATCTTAGTAGTAAAATAAAATCAAGATCATAATGAAACAACTTGGCTATTGGCTAAGCACTTTGTGAGAAACAAAGGCTGAAAACCATGGTTAACTCCTATCTTCCAGGCATAGTGCAGGGCATTAGTCAAAAGCAAGGTGATCCATGCATTTTCTTGGCATGAGCAAAACTGTCATCAGAGAATATAACATCACCATGTAAAGAAAGAAGTTTGGTGGCCATGTTAAAAAAAAGTTTCTTTTATATTCTTGAGCTACAGAGATCAGAGCAATAGACACCATGGGACTTTAAAAGATGGTAACCAAACTAATGGTGCTAATTAAAAAAAAAAGACTGTGAACATAAAACATGAATAAAGAACATATAGTAAATTAGTCCTCATACCAAAGCTCATGACTAGAAGGGAGACAAATTCCGAAGATGTACTATGGAAGCCGATGTCAATTATTTTGGCATCTGGGGAGATGGCACAGTGCTTCAAAGTGCCTTTTGAACAGGCATGAAGAAAGAAAGACCTGAGTTTGGATCCCCAGCCCCAAGTAAGACCCCAGCACTTGGGGTAGGACAACAGGGAGACATGTAAATCCTGAGGGATTGCTGGCCCATCCAGCCTCAAAGTTCAGTGAGAGAACTTGTCTCAAAAATGGAATAGAATAATGTTGACTTAGAATAGAATGCAATGCATGAAATATAATACAAAATACAAAACAATACAATACAATACAAAATACAATACAATACATAATGTGGAGAGCAACTTTTTGGAAACACTCAATTTGTACCTCAGATATACATATACATGCACATTCTATCATACCTGTATATGGGTATAACAGAGAGGGAGAGGGAAGGAGAGGGAAGGAGGGAGAGAGAGAGAGTTCTGGAAGAGATTGTGTGCTTTCATACTCATAAAATTCATCAGATATTGTTTACCTTAATATAAATGCATTTAATCAAACATATTGTAGTAAATTATTTTTTAATATGTGATTTTATTTTATTTTAAATTTTCTCTCTTCCCTCCTCCCACTGATCCCCAGCCTTTCCCCCTAACCCACCCTCATTCCCTCCTCCTAAAAGATAAGGCCTCCAACAGGGAGTCAGCAAAGCCTGGTACTTTCAGTTGAGGCAGGTCTAAGCCCCTCCCCCTGCAACAAGGCTGTGCAAGGTGTCCCATCAGAGGTAATGGGCTCCAAAAAGCCAGCTCATGATCCAGGGATAGATCCTGATCCCACTGGCAGGGGGCCCTTAAGCAGACCAAGCTACACAACTGTCTTTCTTGAAGTAAATTCTTAATCTAAGTCTCTGGAGCCTGATGTTTCAGAAAAATCAACCCTATTGTCTCAACCAAGTTTGTGTCATGTTACTGGCCACTTGCAGTCACCTGTCTGAAATTTGGGGTAGAAAATAATTATGAATTTGCAGGAAAAAAGAAAAAAACTAAATCTGTAAAATAAAGCTGAATAGCATACATGAACTATATAGTTTACCACTGGTCTTTTAACAGAAGAACATTAATGTCTTTCATGAAGCCTATTACTTCCATCTAATAGGATCCATTGTGTCCAGTCTTTAGCATAATTCAAGTTATAATAATTCAAACTTTTGTGTTTAAAGTAACTATTTCATAACTAGCTTGATTTTAGAGTGAAGCTTAGAAATCAAGTGGAAATTGTCATGAGGTTATACATCTGTGAATATATATATATATATATGTGTGAATATATATCTGTGAATATATATATATGTGAATATATATGTGAATATATATATATGAATATGTCTCATAAATTAAAACTAGGTTTTAACAATCTTCCCAAGACAATATAAAAATATGAAAAAAGTATAAAAAGTACTATATTTATTACTCAGTTCAGTGAATGAAGTGTAATAAAAGTAGCCCCATTCTTGTATATATTTTACTAGAAGCTTTATTACTTAGGAAACAAGTTGCCTTTATATTCCCAAGATGTACAGGCTGTGGTGGGTCACTTACACTTTAGTATAGATTCACATAACAATAACAATTAGATCCATCTAGTTTGACAAAGTATCTTTGATGAGAGGGAGAAATCAAAATTCTAGCCTGTCTTTTTTAGGATGGTTGATAGTCTTCAACAGAGTGATACACTGTATCTGTAGTAACTACTATCATGCCTTTCTTAGAATGGTTGATATTTTTCAATGAAGTGATACACTGTATGCATAGTAACTAAAATATCTATTATCTAATGTGCAGTCTGTTTGTCGCTTATATAAACAAATAAGCCAAGAAGGAAAGAAAGAAAAGGATTGGTTAACTATAATAATGCTTAAGGATTGTCTTTTTGTCCAGCAATATTCAGCACTAAGATAATCTCCTTTCTGTAAACTCTTGAGTAATCCCTTCCTTACCCAGAGCAGTCTCCCCCGCCCCCGTTAGTGTTTTCAAATTTAAAATCCAACATTAACTTTTCTAGGGTGGGGCAGGGGTAGACAAGGTGAGAGACAGAGGGAGAAGAGCATTCCAAACAATGATTAACTGAGTCTTTGGTGTTAGATTCCTTCCCATTAGGAAATGAGAGCTGGCTCTCCTGCTACAGTCTTCACATGAGCCATAAGATTGCGGTTATGGCTATGATAGCCAGATTCCGGGAAGTAATATGCTTCTAAAGTCAAGTAAATCTCAAGATATAACAAACTAAGCTGTGTGTGGTGGGGGGCAAGGTGTCTTTGTCTCAGGTGTACTAAAATGAGTATAGTTACCTATACTTTAAGTCCAAATTATGTATAAAGACTTATTATGTCAGAGATAATAAGCCAGGTGTTCAACTCTGCTAAGATAATAGATGTTTTGGGTAAGACCTAGTTTGCCAGAATATTCTGCACTCATGGGCTTCATGATCAGATATGTCAGAGATAAGTTCTGAAGCAAACTTTTAACATTGCAGAACTCTGAAGGTCACAACTGCATGAGTGATTAGAAGTTATGAAGGTCACAGCTACGTTAGCTATTAACGTAAACTTCAGTGCAAGGAATTTTCTTTTGTTTATATTGTGTTTTAAATGTTCCGTTCAGAACCTTACCTCTCCTTGTTTCTTCATATCATCTCCAAGTCTGAAAGTCACAGAGCCTTTGGTTATTAAAAGGAACCAGAGGCTGGTAACACAACTGTGATTCATCACCACAAAACCTGGAGATGTTGCCAAATGAAATGTACGTGCTATAGAACGCACAAGGAAGAATATAATGAACTAAAGTGATGACATGCTATATGCCTCCATTCACAGAAATAAGATTCATGAGCTCTGTAGTTAATACCCCCCCCCTTTTTAAAGGAGTGGGTTTTATTTTCTCACTACATTAGAGTAAACCAATGCAAAAAAAAGAAATTAGGGATACTTTTTTTGACATGTAATATTTTGACTGTAAAATATTCACATTTTGACTTATTGCCTGAAATTTGGAAAGCACTCAGCCCTAAAAAAAAAATCTGGTTCATTCTGTGAAAATGAGGATTCCAACATTTATGGCCATCAATTCTTAGGAAAGTTATCTGGAGGAGATAGAACTTTGAAAATTAAAAAAAAAAATGATTTGGCATAAGTTTAGTTTGGGACGAATTAAGATAATCAAGATCAAAAGTTGTTGAGGGAATAAGCTAAATTTAATCCAAATGATTTATTGAAGATAAAATTTCCCTTTTAAATGCTGCATAAAATAATCCTATTCTAAAGTGTGAACTCTTGAAAATGTTAACAGCTTTAGCATTAGTTATTCTCAACAATAGTTGAAAAAGTAAATTAAAAACTTCTTATAATAACCAGCTTCCAAAAGTTGCTGGATGAGTGTGGGGGGTGCATGGGGGGATGAGTATGTGTGTGGGCACCTTAAAACAACAAAATAAATGGTACTTTTTATTATTTTATATTTTATTACTATTTATCTGATAAAAAGTATGTTTCATTACTTTATTTGTTACTTTTCTGTTAGCTCTAGCACCCTTTATGAAAGACAATCATGGAAAATAAAGCTCTTTTTTTCTCCTCCCTCTGCAATTTCGAACTAGCTTGCAAAGGACATAAACAACACGGTTACCTGCAGAGTGAAAGATTCCTGCCTCAGCAGACACAGTTTCCTAGAGGGAAGTGGAGCTGGGAGAGCAGAGGCCAACACCCTCAGCAGTAAGCGCTGCCCTGGGAGGTGAAGTTAAGAGGCCATGTCTGCCTGGAAAGAGTTGAACCTGGAAAGAACACTTCAGCCAAACGCTGATGTCATCTTTCTCACCGCAAAACAAGCCCCCGCAGGTTTAATTAAAAGCACCCCAAGGTGAAATTTGAATTTTGTCTTGTTCCCAACTGTTAACATCTTCAGTTGGCCCAATTGGTGGTGAGTCCTTTTCTCACCTCTGTCCCGGTATAAATTGTAATCAAAAACAAGGAAAAAAGGAAGTTACTCAATCCAGATAGGCAAAGTCTTTGGGGTTCTAATTCAATATTTGGATATATACTTTGTCCCTTTCGTGGAACCGCAAATCCTTATCTTGGAGACCTCTAGTTCCTTTCAGCTGAGCTGGACAAGTGGGACAGTCCTGAAGGAAAAAGGAGTCACCCCCGCATCCTAAAGTACTTGGAAGTGCTCATTTGGATCTGCCTGGAGACCGAGCTAGGGCGACTCCATCGGTCGCCCTGGAGTCCACAGAGCTGCAAAGTTTAAAGAGAAATCAGAAAGCATCACTTTCTCTCGAGTGCCTCCAGAACTGACCTCTCTTCGGTGGAGGTTCTCGCCTGGGATTTCTTGGATCACTGGGTTATCCACTTCCTTGACTAGAAGCCCACCAGGGAAGCGCTCTCGATTTTAGTGGAGACTCTCCAGGACTTCGGGGTGTTGGCTGAAGTGTTTGTCCTCCAGAGCCCCTTTACAAATTTGCATGGAATCTTACTGGCCAGTATCTAGCTGCTCGGAGTGGATGCCCGGACTCTCGAACTCGCTTCACGCTCTGCAATCTACCGCTGGAGACTGCTCTGGAACCTGGAGCCCCAGCCGGTGTGGCCAAACTGGACGGAGACTGCGCGGCGGGAACCGCAGCCCCAGGCACGCTGCTCCTCTGGAATCAGGCAGCCAAAGGATAGCTCAGATTGCTAAACCCAGGGATGCACCATCCAGGGGTAAACCTGGAACCTGGGCCAGGCGGCAAAGAGGGGAGCCCAGGAAAGAGAGGAGGAAATGGGAGCAGTTACCACTTAAAAGTACTCCAGGCTGAGTTCATCTCCCAAAGAGGCATCTGTGTGGGTCTTGATTATGCGCAGGTGCCTACGCGCGCACTCGGAGAGAGCCCGTGGGTGTGCCTGAGTGTGCGCGCCTTTGTGCATTCGCAAGGCAAAGGTAAAGCCTCTAGAGTTCTATTGGTAGCAAAATTCCAAAGCATCCTATCCTGGGAGGAACTGTGCGGTGCAAGTCTTCTCCAAGTACGCCGGGAAGGGCTGCTTATTAGCTAGCTTCCCAAAGCATCCCCCAAACTCTTCTATTCGGGTTTGGTTCAGACTGGTGTCTGGACTGAGAGGGAAGGAGCGCACAGAAATCGAAGATCAAGTGCTCATAATCTCTAACCGGAAAGGACTGGGTTCCCATCGCTCCAGTTACGGAAGGACTTTTCTTCAATGAATGGCTCTAGGGGGTTCCTGGCAGCTTTGCTGGGGTCTGGGTCCGGGTCCGGGATTTAACTGGACATGTAGGCAGAATTACCAGAGGAAAACCAAGGCGGGCCCTGCCCAATGCCCTCTTCAGGAGGCCTTTCGGTTTTCCTCTGCACCACACCTCTCCTGCTTCACAACCTTCCCCAGTTCAAGTGACCTAGGTGGCCAGGCCTGCTTTCTGCCGACTCCCGGGGTCGCGTTCAGCTCTGCACGCTAAACGTGGTCAGCAGCATCACTTCTTTACGCCGGTACCGCGCTAACTCCCAAATGTAAATTGTTCTTTTCAGAATCCGCTCCCATCTGATTAGTAAGCAAATCCCCCCACCCACCCACCCACCGACTAGGGGACTCTGGAAGCCAGCCTCGGGTGCCTGGGAACGTCAGCCAGTCCGCGGGGTTGGAGCTAATCACTTTTCACACTGTCGTTAACAGCCACAGCTAGACCTGGTGACACCTTTCTTTAAAAAAACCCTTAACCTCCCGACAGCGGGCAATCAGATCGGCAGTTCATTTCCAACAGAGGCGGGTGGGGGATGCCCCTGAAGTTAGCTTTCTTCCTTCGGGTTTGCCACCGCTTCCCCTCCCCCAACCCCGCCCGCCCGCAACGCCCCCGCGCCTCCTCTGCTTGGGGATTTGCAGGCACAGCGCTGACCCTCTCCTCCCGCCAGCAGTAAATCGCTTCTCCCAACCCGTCTAGCCAGGAGTCACCAAGGCCGAAAGCTCGGCGGCGCCGGCTTGGGGTGTCGCCTGATTCTAGGGGTCTGGGAGGTGCGGCCGTACTCGTCACTGCAGCTAGGGACGGGCTCACGGCCGCGCGCCCGCCGCCGCCGCCGCCGCCGCTGCCGCCTCCATGCTGCAGCGCGGAGCGCAGCTCCTCCGGGCCAGGCGGCTGGCGTTGCCCGCTCGCACAGCACTGGGAAGCGGCTCTCCCTGGCCTGCCGGGGCGGCGGCTGCGATCCCGGACCATAGCTTCCCGCCACGCGCCTGAGCTGTGGACTCTCCCCAGAGCCTCGGCCAGCGGGAGGGGCGCCCACCGCGCTGTGTGCAGCGGCGCAGGGAGGCGGTGAGCGTGTGCAGAGCGGCCTGAACCGTGTGTGTGTGTGTGCGTGTGCGTGTGTGTGCGCGCGTGAGCGCGCGTGTGTGCGTGCACGCGAGTGTGCGCGTGTGCTTTTCTTCTTCCCTTGAAGATGTGAATGGCTTCTCAGCTAGCTGGTCCTTGGGATTCTTGACTTTGGGGAGCTGTGAGCCCAAACCACCCATGTAATTCATGTTGCATGGTCGGTTATACCAGGAAAAAAAAAAGGCGCAACTGCACGGGGGTGGGGCAGATCCACGAAACATTCTGGAAACGAGAAATAGAAAGAGGGGAGAGGAATAGAAATACGAATATTGAAAGACCTGAGAAGACTTTCGGAATCTCCCGGCTGGCCTTTCCGTTTTCCGGCAGGAACCTGGATGTTTTCCACCTTTTCAAGTCATCTTGGTGTTTCTCTAGTGTTTTGTAAGCTGCTTTCCAGCTAGCTGCGTGTGTGTATGTGTGTGTTTGTGCGCGTGTGTATGTGTGCGCGCCTATCGGATGCATTTGACAGTCTTTTTTTCCAACTGCCCAGAAGCAAATGTGTTAACTCGGAGATGCCCCTCCATGCCCAGGTTCTCACAGAGCGCGGAGGACGCCCAGACCCGTTTTCCTGGCTGGATTCCGGGCGACTGCTGGGCTGTGGAGCCAGGTGTATGGATCACTTAATCCAGAGGCTTGGAAAGTAGCTGTATTAACCAGCTTCCAGGTACATTGCAAGGTCAAGAGAGGGTCTTGCAGCTGTCTTATTTCCTTGCATCTTGACTTTCCTGTTTCGGTCAGAAGAATATGAACGTGTCTGTCCACGACATTTGAAGCCCAAACTTCGGCACTTCCACCTGGTTTACTGTACAAACAAGGTAATGAGGATTGCTTTTCAAACTGCTTAAGGAACCCCCGACAGTTCCATAGCCCTTCCAGGACTCCCTTACTCCCCAGCGAAATGTCACCAGCTTTTGAATTCCAAGGATCTGGGCTGCAGGAGAACTTGAAGGAAACGTGATCAAGGGCTATGTGAGAAAGCGACTGCTCTCTTTGCCGGTGGGCTGGTGAGCTTCAGGAGCGGATCTTGAGAAGGACCGGTACTGTTTCTCCCTCCGGATGCGGTGCTGGGAGTGCTTGTGCAAGTGTGAGTGCGCGCGCGCCCGGCTGAGAATGTGTGAGTGTGTGTGAGCGTGTCTGTGTGTGTGTGTGCGCGGCCGCCCTGCTTCTGCCGGCTCCCCGGGCGCGGATCCATCGGTTTCATGGGGCGATTTGCGCTGATTCCCCACCCAGCGCGACCTGCGGGCAGCGGCGGCAGTGGCAGGAGCCACCTCTCTGACTCCCTAGGATGCGGGTGCTGAGCTATGGCAAAGGGCAGCGAAGTGATGAGCAAGACCCCAGTACAGCCGTGAAAGCCACCTGGAGCCACCTTGCCTGGATCTTACCTGCAGGCAGAAAGTCCTCCTATGACCGTCTTTCCCCCTAGAGGCACCAGGTAACAATGAAGGACTACTTGCCTCACCCACTTTCCTTAAGGGCTTGTTTCTAGCTTCGTATCTGCATTGCAGGCTACTTTACTTATTAATGTTTTGAAAATCATTAGGAAGGGCTGGGTACCCAAGGGCGCTTGCTCAGTGAGGGGACATACAGTTCCTGGTACATAGAATGTAAGCCTATACCTAAGCACGTAGTGTGGTAGTGAAATCTAAAGATATATGAATACATCAAGCCTGAAGATACTTTTTGAAAAGGGCCAGGCTTGTCGAACCTGTCTGAAGGTGCCAGAGATGAATGGTTCACGTTTCCTTCAGGGTATGGTTGTTGCGGACCATTTGGTATCCAACCCTCCAGATAGATACTGGAGTGAGTCCCGTGTTTGTTCCCCCCGCCCCCCATATCTATCAAAGATCTTCTTTCCCCCTCCTCCTGACCCTTCTACCTCTTGTGCCCGGTTGTTTTCCTCCCCCTGTTGTGTACGATCTTGCCAGATCCTTTTAGTAGTTGTGAATTACGCATCTGGAGACTTTGATGTGAAATGGAGTTTTCTTGGGACTTGCTTAGCATGGAAAGGAATTCGTTGTCATGGGTGTGTATTGAGATGAGGTGTTTAACTGCCAGGGTTTGGTTTGATGTATCAGAATAGATGCATGCAAGAAGTCGTTTTCATGTCTGGGAGAAGGAGGCCAAAAACCAATAGCCACCACCCAACCCCAGCCCCGGTGACAACATCAGCCCTGGCCCCCCTGCTTTATCACAGAGGTGGACAGAAGCTTGTGTTCCCCGTTTGCTGTTTGTGTACAATAGGTATTTTGAAAATTCCTTCCAGTGCTTTGATTTAAAACCTGGTTGCATTTGAGACTGCCTAATTAGCATATTGGATCTGATATGTGAAAATGGAGATTCCCTTCATTGGAGGAGGCAGAACAAATTTAGTTAACTTCCAGTGCCCCCTTATCTTTGCACCTTGTTCATTTCTTCCTTCCCATCACCACGGTTGCCTATTCCCTACAGAAAAATTCACTTCTTTCTCGAGGGCATTTGAATTAACAACATAAAGCACTTCCAAAGTAGTCTCATCAATGTTTAATTCCATAGTGAAGATGGTCTGAAAAATTCAGCTGAGGAGTGCTGGTTTTGTCTCCCGCCTTTAGGAGCTGCCTGCTGGCAGCATGCCACTGCCACTGAGGTTTGGCCTGGTGGGTCCCCAGTTCACCGATCTGGGAGGCAGAGACAGGAACAGACTGATGGAGGTGGAGCAGAGTGTGGGGTGGTGTCTTCTGTTTGCTAACGCTGTTTCGGAAGTATATGGAGACTGCCTGGTTGCCTTCTATTCCTTTCGTTTCTATAGATATCCATATGATGGCATTTGCAGATTACAAGCTAATGGGTAGCTGCTCTACTTGTCCCTGCGCGCTGATGTCCCCAAGTCCTGCTCTGGAGTCTCGATTGGGCTGCTGGTGCAGCCCTGGCAGGGTGGTGGTGCTACAAGGCCGTGTATGCAGAGGGCTTTGGGGGCTGGGCTCCACCACTGCAGCTGGCAGGTCTGCTTTGACACTACTTGGGGCGGGGCTGGAGAGCTCAGCAGGCACTCTGGCAGACAGTGGGGCGCATTGTAGTGGTGGTGGCTGCCCAGGTCTAAGGGAAGAGAAATGGGAGATGAATAGGGCGGTGGTGTTTGACCATCTATTATGACTACCGCCTCCCTCCCCACTAGCCCCTCCCCATGTAATGAAAGCTGGCTACAAAAATTGTTTGACATTCAAACATTGCATGATTTATCAGGATTGAAACCTTGAAGCTAAGTGTGTATTTCCGAGATCCCTGTTTCTTTTTTCTTTTTTTTCTCATGCTCTCCTAGATTCCATTGAGCCATTTGTAGCTTTATTTCGCCTTCAATTAAAACAAAGCATATAAAATCAACTCGTTTTCCACTTTAAACTCAAACATAAAGTCTAGGACTTTTCAGACTTTTCAGACAGATTTAGTGTTTAACTTCAACGTAGAGAAAGGATATAAAGACTAACTCAACTCTGACAGTAAGAAAATCCATGCTCCACTATCTGGAGACTGGGGAGAAAAATAATCTCATTGCCCACATTAAAAAAGATAGAGAGGAAAATAAAACACCAAACAAACAACAGAAAACAAAATAAACAAACAAACAAGATTTGAAGGAATTAAAGATAATTTCCCCCAAATCTTTTCTTTTCTTTCTTTTTTTCTTTCTTTTGTGAATTTATTTGAAATCTATCACTCAGAACATGCTATATACAAAGCCGACTTATGTGGTAAACATCTCATAATTTTGTAAGCAAATAGCTCAGACATATCCAGAAGATGACTAAGAAAAATAAAAAATTCTGCTGAAGAATGTTGGTGCTGGGAAGATAAATGTTTTCCCACCTCGGTTTTACTTCCCTTTGGCCTGTTCTCACTGTGGATTTCATATTTTACATGTCAGTTCTTATCTTTGTGCACCCATCATCAGGGTAGGCAGACAAATCCATAAACCAGAATTTAAATCCTCAGCTTGAACATACATTGTAGTGTGATTCAGGTTTAAAAAGGTCATTCCTCTGTAGGACTGGAGCTAGGTTAAATGTCATAAGGAAATAGATCTTCTAACAGCTGGAAGGAAGGAAGGAAGGAAGGAAGGAAGGAAGGAAGGAAGGAAGGAAGGAAGGAAGGAAGGAAGGAAGGAAGGAAAGCAGGCTAGCTAAAGCTGGGTTGGAGATGAGATTCTATCCCCCTTTTTAGACATTATCCCCAGGCAGAAGTGTTCCGGATAGCTGAGGGGTGAAGAAATTGATAGGAAACTTCCCAGCAGGGATCTCCTCCTTGTCAAATCTTTTCCTAGTTATTCCTAAAAGGAAAATAACAGGAAGCACCCAGGAACAGAGTCAGGTTGAAAGGAGTTGACACTAGATTTTCTTCTTCTAGATGATGTCTTTTAGTGATTCCCTTTTCCTGTTTGAAAAGAATGACCTTGAACAAGACCTGTATTCTGTGTTTCACATACCTCTTTTTTTTTAATTCAAAAATGTAATGTATACATGAATATGCTCACATATTTCAGGTTGATATGAGATTCATGTACTAGTTTGTTTAGGGAAGAGTTCATCAATGTTTATCTCTCCCTGATACCAGTCAAAGGTAATATCTTTTCCCTCCAGAGAAATAGAAGAGACATAGTTATCTGAAGAATTGCCCCACCCTTATTTTTTTTTATTTTTTAACTGTTATTTTTTTTCTCTCCTGCATGCCAATAGATTCTTGGTGTTAAAGCACTATACTCTAGTGCATTTGTTATTTAAGCACAGTCCTATGTTACATCCCCTTCCATCTTCTAGAAGGAATATCCTTTTTCTTTGCCCATTGAAGCTGCTTGAAGCACTTGTGGCTTGGTGGTTTTGCTGAGTTTTCTAGCTGGTGAAATTAGGACCAAGCTTTCTGCTGACTTGCTTGCTGTGCTGGTACATGGTAAGGATGAGACACTTGCAACAATCTAACTCTCTTCCTGTCCATCAGTGAAGCTACTCCACAACAACTATTCAGGTCTTCATTCATATACATAGCATTGAAAGCATCTTTGTCAATATTGAAAGAAGAAAAGTCACTTGAAAATTTTTAAAGAATTAACTAGCTAACCTGTTGCCTTTTTCTAATGATTTTGATTAGTTAGAAATGGAACATACTAGCATTTTTTTCATGGTTTCTTTACTTTTTTTTGGTACCATACAAATAATTCTAAGCTTTATGTTTCATGGAAGAGTAAAGATCAAAATGTAGGCCTCCTACATATGAGTGCTACTCTTTAAGATACAGGACTAACAGATTTTGGTAAATCATTCCAGTGACACATGTACACAGTTAAGTCTCAAGAATAGACCCATTTATTCAATTTCTGTAGCTCACATTCATACTCATGTGTCACCCTTCTATTTTAGAACCTAAGGAAATAAAAGTTATATATTCTGTGGTGTATGCATGGTGAAATTAATAAGCTCTTATGTTTGCAATCATAGAAATTATTCTATCTAGAGGTAAAGCATCTTTTATTATACTCCATCTCCCTAAATTGTACAGGACTATGAAGACCTCAACAAGTAAAGAGGAAACAGAAGAATTTTATTCAGAAATAGTTAATGCTATATTTAAAGCTTGTAAAAAAATCATAGCATTCTGGTAGATACTGCTCTGACAGAAGGCTTTTGCTAAGTTATATGACACTCTAACAGTAATTATGAATGATAGGTAACAAATGATTGAAAATTACAATGTAATTACATGGTTATATAAATGTACTATCAGTGAACTGATGCCAAGTAAAGTGCATGAACAGGTTTCAGTATTTAAGCTACAAAAATTATTTGTATGTTTTTGTCTAAAACTGATAGTTCATATTTCTTAACCTACTAGGTTATTTGGGAAATTACCTTGTTACACAGGAATTCCCAAGGTTGTATATAAAAATGGCAAATGATCACATTTTTCCTTCCTAGAAAGTATATTCATAGAAAAGAAATATATCCCATGTTAAATCTTATACTCTTTTGAATCTTCTTGGTAGATTGATTATACAAACATACACACACACACACACACACACACACACACACACACACACACATTGTGAGTTACATAACACATTGCAAAGACTTTCAATGGAGTTTCTTAGAATTAATGTTACAGTCCCTGTGAAGCATAATTGCAGGATTTGGAAAGAAAATTGGATCTATTTTTAGATTTTACTACATAAAGGGCCCTAGAAAGGACATAATAAGATACATGATTAAAGTTCAGAATGCCTTTAGCAAATGTTGGGGAAAGTTTCAGAATTTTTACAAAATGTTTGAAAAAAAGTAAGTCTGTTTCAAGATATTCTCTGTCACAACTAATGTATTTAAACAGGAACAGAAGCCAAACAATGTTGCTTATCTTCATCTAGTTCCCTTTGATCTTTTCAGCACCATTGAGCATGTGCTAACAGCCCAGAAAGGAACATTTTACTTATTCTCTAGATACAATTTTCTTTTGATTTCTCCAAATCAAAGAAGGGCTTTCTTCATGCTAGGCACACAATCTGCTGTTGAGCTCACATTCGGCCTTATTTCCTATCTTGAAACAGGTTTTCCTGGACCTCAGTGACATCACCTCCAAAACTACAGGATATTCATATTAAAGTGATTTACTATTGGAAGCATATTAACTACATTAAAGCTAACTCTCAGTGGTATGAAATGAAGTATTTTTCTCACTGGGTTTTTTCATTAGTTGAAAGAAAATATTTTCATTAGAAACAATTTTAACATTTTAACATATCTGCTATATTTGAAAAAAACATAATTTATGCATTAAAACAATATCAAGAGAACTTGGAAGACTTTGAACATATATCATGCAAAGGGGAAGAAATTATACTATACAAAGACTTTTATTAGAGTCAGATTTTTGGGTATTGGGAAATACAAAATTATTGATGTATATTATTAATAAACATAAAAATAGCAACAGGTTTATGAAATATAAGTGAAAATGTGTCTATATCATAAAAACCACAGCCATGAAAATTTATTTAAAAATAATTTTGTTCAAAATATTGAATGTTTTAGTTAAGTGCTTTTAATTTATACATCAACACTGTTGCTTTATTATACATGGAGATATATCCTCATAACACTAATAGTCACAGATCTTTTAATTTGCTATGTCCTATTCAATATAATTACATCTAATTTAAAACTGAAAATGCCATGCTATTTATAGGAATTATGGGAGACAATCAGGAAGCACATTGTACTGTGACCATGTGAACACAGTGTCTTAAAAACATGAAACTATAAACATATAAGTTTGAGATACATTTATTAACTAACTGATATTTGGGCCTCTTTTAAGTATATTTTGTAGTGGTTATGAGGGAGACAGTTGGGAAATCAAAGCTGTGTCCTGGAGGGTTTGGTTTTATAAAGTAGTTATCAAGATGAAATTTGAGTTTTTTGTATTTAATGTTTAGCCCTGTCCAACCTAAAATGCAAGCCATTCAACATCTCCTAACCTCACGTCCTCACAAAATCAGCTAGTATGACTGTAGACTAGAACTATCTAGCAGCTTCAGTGTTACCATAGATTGGGAATTTATGTGTCTTCATTGTGATTGTGATCTTTTCATTCTTAGTTATCATGAGCCTAAGGAAGGAACAATAAAAGTAAGGGGAAAGCTTTAAATCCTATGACTGGAATAATAAAACTATGAGGTTATGATGACCAGGAGAACTATGATCAATATATCCAGAAGCCAAGCAGAAGATGGAAAACAGGCGATTTGCCCAGGTTTAGGAAACCTTAGGCTCTAGGAACTGATCTACTTGGTCAGTGAATGACCTACTCAAACCCATTACCACTGAAATATGTTTTGACACACAATGGACACAGAACTATTAAACTTCTAATTTTCTTGACATGCTCTTTAAAAGATATTGAAGCTACCCTGCTGACTTTCTCTTTGGTTAAATTCCTGTGCCTTTAATAACTTCAAAATCACTTTACTGAAAGTGATTGTTCTATATTTCTTTTAAGTATGCCATAATGTCATGCTTTTGGTTGATATAAAATTTTGGCATCCTATAGCCTCTATAATTTTAGCATAGGGAGAGGTAGTATCATATAAGGAAGGCCTTATTCCTGATAATGGTACCTTGGATTATTAGAGTTGAATTACTTCAGACCCTCAACCCATAATTTCCTTGCTTATACACACACAAGTTAGGGACAATTTTATTTGATTATTGTTAACCTTTTTACATTTTATGCTCAGTAATGTTATACTCACTGTCTGAACAGATGTTTGGGATGAATTCTGGTTTGTCTGTTCCACATTTCACTGAAGCACAGAACCAATGCCAACAAATAATGCAGATTTCAGTATGACTATCATTTCTGCTTTTGACTTGGGCACAAAAAAGTGAAGCCAGTCTTGCATTCATGTACCTTTCTTCCATCTGAACTTGAAGAAAGTCTTAGAGCCCCTTTACACATACCTCTAAAGTGGTCATGAGATGAAATGTACTCTTCTTCTGAGTTTAGACTCTAATAACATGAGATTACTTCTTCAACATTCCATTTACATGCTTTACTCATAATGGTCAAGTTACTTAAATATTTCCTACCTTCCCCCCTACAGATTGTTATGGTGTTCTTCATGAGGACCATACAAAACAATGAAACAGAGAAACACAAGAAATGTAGGTGAGCGGTGGGTGGTGGTGGTTCACACCTTTAATCCTAGCACTTGAGAGGCAGAGGTAGGAGGATCTCCATGAGTTCAAGGCCAGGCAAGGGTACACAAAGAAACCTTGTCTTGAAAAAACAAAACAAAACAGAACAACAACAACAAAAAACAAAAACCAACAACAACTAAAAATACTTTGGCCTGGAGAGATGGCTCAGTAGTTAAGAGCATTGGTACTCTTCCAGAGGACCTAGTTTCAATTCCCAACACCTACATGGCAGCTGACAACTGTCTGTGACTCCAGTTCCAGAGCGCCTGGCACCCCTACATAGACATACATGCAGGTAAAACACCAATGTGCATAAAAATAAATAAATCTTAAAAGAAAAAAGAAATGTAAATTACTCACTTCTAAGTTGTTTAACTGAATGTATCAAGGACTTTCTGAGATCAATAAAAAATGACTACAATCATGTCCTTTATACTCTTTAATAATTATTTATTTGCTATTTAATACATGCATGAAAACTCTCAACCATTGTCTCTCTTAAGACACAGTCAATATGGCGTAGATGCTACTGTGGGAAAAACCAGTGTAGAGCAACAGCAAACTGTCTTTCATGGAGAAAGTCCAAAAACAGTCATGTTGCTAATCTCGTCTTTGCCTTTTAATTTACTGACAGACCTAGATGGTTTATTTCTAGAATATTAATTAATTCTGTTTGCATGTTCTTTTTAAAATAAAATCAGTATCTACGCTCCAAGCAGCCTCCTCAGCTTCCTTACGAAATTAATTGTTTTCTAACAAGGTGAGAGAGGTTGAAGGCAGAAAGATGTAGTAAATCTCCCTTTCCTGGTGTCCCTAAAGAACCAGTCTTTAGATAAAGATGATGGACCGAATTTTGCATGCTATTCTTTTGGGGCATTATGTTTAAAATGATTTTTTAAAGCCTTACATATAATATAGAATGCAAATGGTTATCAAAATTGACACATCAAGGGTAAATATAATTAATCTTTTCTTAATGACTCCCTGTCTCCATTGTATATGCTAGGAACTGGAAAGGGTCCTCAGGGGCCAGCCAGTCCATTGCATGCTCTGAGCAATTTACACTAATTTTTTTCCTTTCACTTCTGCCTTAACTATATGATTTTTCTTTGATTCATTTTGCTCTTATGAATGTATTTTTCAGTCCATCAGTTTCACTTTTTAACTCACAAATGAGAATTTATTAAGAAAATAGTACAATTGTTGGATATGAGAGCCTCAGACTAGGAATCCTAAGGCTTCCTCTGACATAACACATGCTCTTTCCTGTCATATGTCTTACAAGGGAATCATTGAAAGATACCAACATTTCTTAGATGTGATATGGTAGATGACAGCATCATCACATGGTCTTATCAACTTGTTCATCTTCTTCTGAGAAGGTAGCCTACATCAGTTGCTTTGATTTTTACTTCTACTTATACAGTAGACTTGCAGCTTCATTGTGAGCATCTCTATTTTTTAGACCTTCAAACTGAAACTCAGAGCATTTCATTTTAGATGGCTACAGTATGCAGCTGATAGGTGAGAAGGTCAGAACTCAAAGCTAAGTACTTCTGATTCTAAAGAAGGTGCTTAAAAAAAAGAAGGTGCTAAAGCTTCTATACCTGGGGGATTTCCCCTGTATCCTACCTCTCATGATAGTTTGGTAACAATTATTATATATATATGTGCTCTAACCACCTCCTTAGATGAGGCCATATTTCAAATATACACCAAATTATTTATTTCCTTTGCTTTTTATATAATTTCATCAACTGCCAAATTTTATATTTGTATGTCTTTCAACTGCTTTATAGGTTATCTATTAGGGGACTTAGAATTTGCTAGCATTGGAAAATTTCAAATTTCCATGAAAAAGGTCATCTTCTACGCCTGGGTTTCCCACCTTTAACATAATACCTAGGGACACGTGAGCCTTTCCACATTGCATTTGGGCTTGATTTATTCCAGAGTGACATTTTATCATTGTCAAAATTACATGATTTCATTTTTTCTTCTAATTTTGCTTCAATAATTCATATTCTATATTCACTTCCTTAGTAAATTAAATCTAGATTGGGCAATTTATGCTGGGATTATGAAAGCTTCATTATTTAAAGTTATTTAACAATGCTGTCATTAACATATCAAACTATTCTACCTAGAATTATCATAATTTAGAGATATAATAAGCTGTGGAATCTAGGTCATAGAAAAGTCCAAATAAAATTATTTTATAATAATTACTATAATTCACTTAGTATGAACTTTATATATTAATATGAGTATTGTCATAATCAATCTTTTGTCCCCTCTTGGTAAAAGAGATATGTTTGTAAAGAAATGCATGAAATTACATTTCATACTCATGTTATTCCCTTCAATGGTATATTTTAATTATAAATTTGAAAATTTTTGATTATACTGAATATGGAATATTCTATTACATTCTCTATTATTTCTTAATGTGGTTTTGAAGTTAGATAAATTATGTTAATTTGGTTATTTGTCATTTCTTCTACTAGTGAGTTCTAAAACAGTAAAGTGTGTATATTCTATGTATTTCATGTGTCAATATATATACAAGCCTATTTTGTAGCATCATATGGATTAGTTTCTTCATCTGCAGAAGGGCACTAATACTGTTATGCACCCCAAAGGCTTGGAAGGGAAAGAATGAATTCTATGCATTTCACACACTAGTTCCTCCATAACTGAATGGAATCACCAATTATTATTAATATTATAGTATAAGAAATTTATTAATTTATATACACAATAAATATAAATATCTTCGTTTGCATCACACATTCGCTGAACTGAAGAGGAAGCGCAGTTCTACTAACAGCTCAGGCCATGATATGTGGCTTGAATAACTGCTTGTTGCAAGTGTCCTGCCTTTCTTGACAAAACTCAGGAAAGAAAAATCCTTTTAGGATAATATCAAGCAATGTTTTACATTCCAAATTTAACATATAACTTTGTTTTTTAAAAACAGTTTAAATGCAAGGATTGTATAGATGTGGAGTAATTAACTATTTTTAAGTCAGTTGGGATAAAAATTTAAAAGCAACCTTGAGTAGTTTGTGGTTCTCAGGGCTTGGTCAGATGAGCTAAAGACAGTCACTATTGATGGGCTGTTTTGAAGTTGTTCATGGAATCTTCTGTGGAGAAAGAAAACATATGTATACAATTACAGACATAATTAAATCAGTAAGGTGCTTCAGGAAAGTGTTTTTGAGGAAAATATGACCCTCTTGTTCAATGAACTGTTTTTTTAAATAAATTTTATTTTTATTAAGAGATTTTCTATTCATTTTACATACCAACCACAGATTCCCCTGTCCTCCCTCCTTTCATCCCCCAGTCTTCTCCCTCCAACCCACCCCCCATTCCCACCTCCTCCAAGGCAAGGTCTTCCATGGGGAGTCAGCAGAGCCTGGTACATTCAGTTGAGACAGGTACGAGCTCCTCCTTTCTGCACTAAGGCCATGCAAAGTGTCTCACCATAGACACTAGGTTTAAAAAAACAAAAAACAAAAAAACAGCTCACACACTAGGGACAGGTTCCCATCCTACTTCCTGGGGATCTTCAAGCCAAACAACTGTTTCGCCTATCCAGTGGGCTCAGTCCAGTACCATGGGGGCTCCTCAGCTATTGTTCAGTGAATTGTAAAAAAATAAATAACTTCTATTCTTCCATCATTCAGGAAAATGGACTGTATTTTAGAGAAGCAAGGTAACTTTGCTGTCATGCTAACTTGTCTCTGAAAACTCTGCTTTTGCTTGGGATGTCTTTCATTGAAAGCTGAAATTCTTATCTGAGTAGCCATGTGGATATGTGAGTTTAGCTCATATTACTTCATTGACATGAAAGTGATGAATCAATATGTGTAATTAATGCTTGAATTTATCCAGTAATGTTAGGAAAATAAAGTTTCTTTCATCTCAGAAGTTATTTATAGCATTATGTCTTAAAAAATATGGAGTAAATAATTAAGGATGAAGTATCTTTGTTCAAGTCAGGAAGGAGGTTAAAAGGAACTGGACAGGAAGAGTGAGAATTTCAGTGAAACATACCAGTCTTGCTGGAAAATGTGTCTTCTGGCTGTACTGGTTGACTAACTGAATTGACAGTCACATGCATGCCAAAAACTTTTTAAAATATTGGCTTTAGAAAGTGGTTGTAAAGCATAAAAACTGACTTGTCTGCTATGACAGAAAGAAATGAGCTTCACTTTGTAATCACTATGAGTATGTTGATGTTTACATTGAATGTTGATATTTGTAACCTTTTAGTTGAAGCAGTATACACATACACACACACACACACACACACACACACACACACACACACACACACACACACACACAAATGTAATCTGCCCCTATCCTGGACTGTGATGTACAAACTGAAAGAAACCCCTTCCTTCCAAAGTCAAACAACAACAAGAAACCAGGAGGTAATATGTTAATATTTTTATATTCTTTGAATGATAGTATCATCATCTTTACCATGCCTTTTCCTTTTGTCAGTCCCTCCCATGCATCCCCCAAGCTCCATGTCTTCAGAGGTGATTGTGTTTCCTGGAGTATCTGCAGAAATCAGAAAAGCAAAAGGGGACTATGTGTTTGGGAGGGCAAGAGCAGTGGAGAGAGGTGCAGCAGGGTTCAAAGGATTAAAAGCTGGATTGAAAAACTAGGTGTACTTAGGGAGAGGAAGGGAGTTAAATTCACTGTGCTTTTGAAGTTTTTCCTCTTTTGTCTCTTTTCATATGCCATTTGTGAAATGACACTAATATTTGGAATAAGAACTGCCAGCCCTCTCAAACTGACTCCAAGCATGTGATCAGAGAGGCTTCATGGCTAGCACAGTAAGTAGTAAGGTCCATGATGCATCTTAGACAGGAAGAATCCATGTGAATTGAATGTATTTGGAATTATCACTCACTTTGTCAAATTGTTTCTATCAAATAATTATATCAACTTACAATTCACTACATTTACAATGAAATGATCAGAGATATATTCAGACCTGTAGATGAGAGCACAAAAAGAAGTAGAGGAAGTTAATAGGTTGTAGCGTCCGCACTCCTACCCGTTCATATCTGAGCAAGGGGCTGAGGATTAAAACAGAGACAAGACAGCGGGACATTCGTCTCAGTAGAATGCCCTTTATTGAAGGAGGGAAGAGGCCTTAAATACAGGCTTACAGCACAGTGGAAGAACCTGGGAGGGCAAAAGTTCACCACAGATATTTTACATTCTAGCATTACACCAATATGCAGAATACGCAAACAAGGAACCTCAGGTAAGCTGTTTAGGAGGAATGAAACCGGCAGGGAATTAGCATAGGGAGGACATCTGACCAAGGTCAACAACCAAGGCAACAGCTACCCAAGGAACGGGGGTCAGGGCCCAACAATAGGTCTAAGCTCATTGGGATCCAGGGTAAGTAACCATGGTTCCACAGCACAAGAATTTTCAGGACCTAGGCTAATAGGACTCACCTAGCAGCAAGAGGAAAGCCCATCGGGTATTGGTCAAGTATTAAAGGAATTTCCTGGTGCTCACCAATGTCAGAGGTGTCTTACAGCAGTGTCTGACTCAGCTTTGGAAGTGTTGAAAAGCAAGATCCAGCCTTTGAGCTGGCTTTGCTCTGGGTGATTCCTCTCTGAGATGGGAAAGCAGGGACACATCAGCTTTACATCACCACAGCATACAAAGGCAGAAGGAGAAAGGAGAGAGGAAGGAAAGAAGGGGGTGGCATAAAAGTGCAAGAAGTTACCTCCCAACAGTCCTCACCAGTGTCCTAGTCATCCCTAATTCAGTGACCCAAATTTGCTGTAACCACAGGAAGGAGTCAAGATACAGCAGACAGATTTCCCAGCCCTCCTCATTTCCTTTTCACCTCCCATCCCTGCTTCTTCTTTTCTTTTCTTTCTTCCTTTTTTTTTCAAAATTATTTTCTGTGAAAGGTCATTCCTCTATCTACACGCGAAATTCAAATCCCAGTGAAGCTTTGGCCAAATGCTAATATTTTGCTTTGATGGTAAGCATTGCCTGATTTAAGATTCTGTAGCAAATTCTGCTATTTTAGAGAAGCAAATTGAAATTTATCAAGTCAATCTTATTGTAAAACCTTGGAGATGAATAGCATTAATTAAATTTTATTACAAGTAAATTTTATGTTTGGTTTCATTGAGAAGTTAATTAACACCTTCACTATTTGCTAAGCAGCACTTTGCCCTAATATATCAGTACACTAAGAACTAATTCATATAGCGATCGATCATCTATTTACTTTTCTTTCATCTACTTCATCTTACTATTTTGTCTTAGGGTTTATATTGTTGTGAGGAGATACCATGAGCATAGCAACTCATATAAAGGAAAACATTTAATTAGGGGTTCAGAGGTTTAGTCCATTATTATGGTGGGAAGCAGGCATGGTGCTGGAGAGGAGCAGAGAGTTCTACATCAGGATCAGCAGAAAGCAGAAAGAGGGAGCCACTGAGCCAGGCTTGGGCCTTCAAAAGCCCAAAGCCCACCCCGGTGGTATACTTCCTCCAACAAGGTTGTACCTACTTCAATAAGACCACACCTCCTAATGTTACTTCCTAAGCATTCAACTATGAGTACATGAGAGCAAGACCATTTATCATCTATCTATCTATCTATCTATCTATCTATCTATCTATCTATCTATCTATCTATCTATCTATCTATTTAGAGACAGGGTTTCTTTGTGTAACCCTCATTGTCCTGGAACTTACTCCGTAGACCAGGCAAACCTCAAACTCACAGAGATTGGCTTGCTTCTGCTTCCCTAGTGCTGGGATTAAAGGCATGCACCACCACCACCCGGCTGAGGGCCATTGCTATTCAAACCCCCACAGCATTTATAGAACAGAGGAAAGCTGTCAATATATATATACATACATCTCTCTATATACTATGAACACACATACACATTCAGACATTTTTTCTCAAATACACAGTCATAATAAATATCTGATGTGCATAAAAAGTATGTTTATAATAATCCCACTTTAAAAAGTTTATGAATAAATTCTAAGCTAAAAGGTAGTATGTATAAAACCTTTAATTATTTATGAAATAAATTTAAATGAAATTATAGAAGAGAAAAGGGCAGTGCCTGAACCTAAACATGATTTTAAAAACTCTGGATCAGGTCTTTTCCTCTTTGTAAAACAGAGATCAGATGAATGTTGTTTCATTATCATAATTCATTTCTAATGATTCTGGGGCATAAAACTCTTCATTTTGATTTACTCATTTCTGGGAGTTCTACAAATTTCAGTTAAAGAAGAATCTTATTTTCTTATCAAGTTTCGTCTTGATTTTCTACTATCATTTAATTTTAAGATCATAGGTGATAATAGCAAGCAAGGTTTGAACAGGGATAAGCAATCACTTCCTGTTGAATGTCTTGAAATGAGGGAAGTCCAAACCTATGTGATGGCATAAGCTGAGGAGTTCAAACCAAGGTAAATGAAGGCAAATGGGAGAGTTTAGTGTAAAGGGCTATCTGAAGGCAACACCTGTAACTAAACAGCATTTTCTAGTCTACTAATATACCTCCAGATATCCATACCTTAGTCATGACAATTGTTATAAAGCAGTATGCATTGTAAGAACTTATGCAGCCAATGAGATGGCTCAGTGGATAAAACCTTGGCTACGCAAAATGATAATGGGATGGCAAGAAGAGGACTGGACCAAATAGATTTGTCTTCTAGCCTACAAAGGCCAAACACACTATAATTATAATAAATAAGCATGTCCCTAAAGTTGTGTCATTTAATGCAAAACTGACAACTGATCACTGGTATTTAATTTTTTTTTTAAACAAAAGGCAGATGTGGTGGCACATGCCTGAAATCCCAGCACTCAGGAGGCTGAGGCAAAAGAACTGTGAATTCAAAGACAAGACAATCAAGGTTACCTGCTTGGATTACATAGCAAAATTCTATCAAATATAAATTAGGCTATTTAAGAAGGTATTATCAGAAGAATTTTCAGGCTGAAATGGATGAAAAGAAAAAAAAACATTTGATAATTATACTCCAAATAAAATTTTTAAAGGAGAGGATTAGTGAAATTATAAATCCTTTGTGTGAATTGTAAAATAAAATGACATGAGAGAAGATAAGATTTGCTTTCTTGCTTCTCTGTTTTCTCACTATGGTTTAGAAAGAAGCCTTCCTCAAGTTACAGTTTAAGACAGTGGTACAGAGTAATTGAGAATTCAATCACTGTTTAAACAGAATATTGCTGTAACCTAGTACTGGTTATACATGCAGTAGCTCAGAGTTACCTCAATACAATGTAAGTCTCTAAGAGGACTTTGTAGAGCCTGTGTAGAATCATGCTGTGATTATTCTACCCAGATTGAAAAAGACAGGGAGGAGAAAGCTATTTTTATATTACTTGATATATTCTATTTTTGCTGGTAACCTTCCTGCTCAATGTTTTTCTTCTCTGAAGAATCATCTAGAATAGATAATAAATGATATCAATTACAGCACATCCTCCTTGCTCACAGGTATGAGCAGTGTGTTGTTAGTTTTAGTTAAATAATAGCAATGATATTTCCTTAACAGAATTAACTGTAGAAAAACAGCAATGACTAAAGTTTCAATGCACATTAATTAAGAAAAGATTATGAACACAATATTTAAGGCTACCCTTAAAAGGAACAATATTCTAAAGTGTGCTTATCTAGTAAAACATATGAATTCTTCACTATATTAAAGTAGGAGACATTATTTCAAAATTTGGATGTCTGAATTTTAAGACATTGTACCTCAAAATATTTTATATGAACAGGTCCAGGAATCATTTCCTTCTTGATGGTTTGGGAACTTGTTATTAATATATAATTCAACACATTATATTACACCAAATATTGGTAAACCACACTATATCATTCTCTTCGAAGGCCACCACCAACTGCCTTCCAATGAAGAATGTAGATCTGGATTCTTACCAAAATTTGTTAATAAGTATAGAATTCTTTTACTAAAAAAATAACAAGAAAGAACCTTCCATAATTCTACCCCCTCAATACCGTTCTAAACCAAGATAAAGATAAACATACAACTGTTAAATAATGTATGATCTCTTATGAAATATGAGTGCAATTAAAATATAAAACTGATATAAGGCAAGACAATCAAGGCACTGTTTCTTTTTATTTCCTGATACAGTTTGTAGCAACAATGGCAGATATTTATTATTAAAACCCACGTGAATCCTCTTTTTTTTTTTTTTTTGATTTTTGTGACAGGGTTTCTCTGTGTAGTTTTGGTGCCTGTCCTGGATCTCACTCTGTAGATGAGGCTGGTCTCAAACTCACAGAGATCCACCTGGCTTTGCCTTCCAAGTGCTGGTATTAAAGGTGTGTGCCACCACTGCCCGGCAGTGAATCTTCTTAATATTAGTTATATATACCAGAACCGGCATTACATTTTAGTTCCATGTAATAATACTGTGGTATGCTTGATTACTTTTTATATATGCCACTTAACTACAAACTCAAACACAGATACAGTTTTTCAAAATCCCTACATGTATTAATTCTAGCTGCTGCTTTGTTTAATATGTATTAATGCATATTTATGGCAGGGAACAAATACTGAGAAAAGTAGATGATGCTTCTGTCTGTGATGGGAAGGTCAGGTGACAATTTTCTCTTTTATAATTTTGAAACTTTTGTCCTTTGTATGTAACATGCTAATTTGTTTATTTAATAATTAATAATAATAAAAAGTTCATGTGTATTTTCATATATAGGATTATATATTAAATAAAAAGTGTATCTCTCAGTTACAAAGAAAGGCTAATATACATTATATATTTACATGCCAACTATAATGTCAAAGATATTTACAAATGCACTCTTTGTAAAAATTTCCCAATCCTGCAAAAACACAAAGCCCATGCCTTGGTCCTCAAAAGAATTACCAAGATCTTAAAATGCCAACAGGATTCATTCTTTGAAGCTTTTTTTAGAGATTTGATTAGGGTAGGAGCTGGAGGAGAATGGCCTGTAAAATCTGAACACTGAATGTATTCTAGGATTTAATCATGTTTTTGACTTCCATAATAAAATTTATGCTGAACTCTTAGCTCACATCTTCATGTTCTCAGAGAAAGAAGTCAGGAAGGTTTTTATTTGTACACTTGGCTTTAGTAGTATTTACCATTCAGATGGAAGAGGAGACCATTACACTAAAACACAAACACTTAAAAATTTATTGTAATGCAATAAAATAAACTATGTATTCAAATTAATTTATATTTATAAAGCAACCAAATGAAGAAAAAAAAGCCCTACAAGTGACCAATCTTGAAAACTGATTAAAATAATAAACATTGACAGATTTTTTTTTTAAAAATGTGGATGTAACTGAACAAGTAAGCTATTTATTTATTCATATCTATATCTAGATATGATATAGATATGAATAATCATATTCATATCTGTAGCTATTTATTCATATCTATATTTATCTATCTATCATCTATCTATCTATCTATCTATCTATCTATCTATCTATCTATCTATCTATCTATCTATCATCTATCTATCATCTATCTATATTTGAGACAGGGTCTCAGTATGTAGCCCTGGCTAGCCTGAAATTCAGTTTTTAGTATTGGCTGATCAAAAACCACAGAGAGTCTCCTGTCTCTGCCTCTGCTTCCTTAGTCCTGGGATTACAGATGTGCACATTCACACCTAGAACAGCTGAAGCCAAGATTTTTTTCATATTAAACTTTTTACATAATAAATGAAAAAGATCGCTACAACTATATGTACTCCTACAATGAAAACTTTTAAGTTTTATCTTTTAAAATATACTTCTAAATAAGAATTATCATTTCCAAAAACTTTCACACTTAATATGTATATTTATTGGTGGTACCCATGATTGAACTCTAGTCTTCATACATGCAAGAGAATCATGTGCCAGTGAGAGGTTTCCTCAGTCCTTTCATAGAAGAACTAGAAATCATGTATCCTTCACATTTATGTCATAGTTCTTAACTGAGATATAATTCCCATTGCTATATACTTCAACCTGTAAAATGTACCATTTCTTGGTGTTCAAGAAAACCACAAAGCTCTGAAACCATCACTACCAGTTAATTCCAGAAAGTTCTGTTTTTTTTCTAAATGAATCTGCATACCTATCTGCTATTAGTCCCTATCCCCATTCCTCAGAAAGTTAATTTTTAGAAAAATAAATAGCAATGAAAAGAAAAACAAAGGCAACGAAGATCTATAAAATGTTTTAGAATTCTCAAGCTAATTTATTTTTTATTAATTGAATGTGCTTGTGGGGGGGTGCTGAAGAGATTGTTTAATGGTTAAGTGCACATCCTGATCTTGAAGAGGACCAGAATTTGATTCCCACCACACATGCATGTTGCTGGAGGGCTTCTCTCCAGGTTCCCCAAGCCCCGCAGTCCCACAATCCACTTATAAAATAATCGCTCAGACACTTATATCACTTATAAACTGCATGGCTGTGGCAGGCTTCCTGCTAACTGTTCTTTTATCTTAAATTAACCCATTTTTATAAATCAATACCTTAACACATGGCTGGTGGCTTACCAGAGTCCTTACATGCTGCTTGTCCTGGCGGTGGCTGCAGTGTCTCCCCCCTCAGCCTTCCGCTTCCCAGAATTCTCCTCTCTCCTTGTCCCACCTACTTCCTGCCTGGTAGCCTACTTCCTGCCTGGTCACTGGCCATCAGTGTTTTATTTATATAGAGCAATATCCACAGCACATGCAGGTAGCTCACAGTTACATGTAACTTCAGCTCAAGTCATTGTATGCATAGAATTTGTACTCACGTCCATGCTCACACACATTCATACACAATTAAAAGATAAAATCATAAAATGTTGAAAAAGTGCTATTTGACAGTTTCACAAATACATAATTCATAATGATAACTGTCAACATCTGCTCTCTCCCATCTTGGCTTATCTGCATCCCAAATCTCATTCTTGCTTTGTTTCATGTTGTGAACCACTGAGTTTAACTTGGCCAATTCTCTCTGTTGGACAGTGAGTTTGAAGCTTATTAGAACCTGGGTTCAGTAGTGAACAGCTAAAGACAATGACTGGTTAAACTTGGAGAATTTATTAGTAGCCAATACTGCACTGGGGGGAGGTAGGACCCCATGAGCTCCTACCCCTCCCATGACTGATTGTGGACAGGACCAGTCTTGTGTGGGCTCAGTGTAGATAACCACAACTGTTGTTAGTTAATGACGGTGTCTTTCTCAGCCACTTTCCCTCTCTTCTGTCACTTACATACTTCCAGCTCCCTCATTTGCAGTTTTTCATCAGCTTTAGGGGTGGTGGTTTATATAGATGTCTTGTTCAGAGCTGTGCCTTTAACTTCACTTGCTCTCAGCATCTTGGGCAACCATGAGTCTACACATCACCCCAGGGACATTGCAAAAAGAGCAGGAAAGCATAGTTTTTGTCTGGTCTAGTCCAAGTGACCCAGGGGAATGACGGTGGTGTCCAAAGGACATGTCTCAGATGATCAAGTCTGTTCCTCTGAAGAATTATCAGTTCTTCTTCCATTTGCTGAGTGTTATTGTTTTTATCAGATCCTTACTTATCAACATCTCCGAATTTGATTCTAACAGTTATATAACATCATCTTCATTAAATCCTAATTTTAGAAATGAAATTTCAATTTAACTTTACTCTAAATATATGTTGTATTTTCAGTGACAAATGGGTGGAAATAAAAGGATCTGTGCATCAATTTATGTCCCATTACCTACACTGATATTTAAGTGGAGATATGCTAGTCAAGTGAACTTTCTAAGTGACGAACTCAATATTAAACTTGTTTGTAGTGACAGTTTTGCTACTTAGCTAATCTTCTAATTTCAAAAACTTGACTAGAGAATATAAGGTTGAGACCTATGTCCCTGGAAATTTCATAAAAGTATGTCCTCTTGTGGGAGAAACAGCGAAGTGTACTTGGTTTCCATTTATACAACTGATCATAAAGAATACTATATATTAGAAATTAATTTTATTACAAATAGAAGCATCGTTTTTCTCAGTGTTATCATTTGCTGTTTTTACTGAAAAGTCATCTGTAAATTGCTCAGTTAATTTTTTCTGGTTTTCTTTTCCTCTCTGCTCATGTAACATTTGGCTCAAATTCTTGACAGAAACTGCTCTGTAAGGGTTACGGCTTTCTGCAATATCAGCTCTTAGTTCCTGTATTGACTGAAATGTCAAGTTTCTTTTCTCCTTATAAAATCCTATATGCTCCTCAGGAAACGATTTGTCAGAGAAGACAGAGGAGAAAAGTCATCTCTCCAACCTGGATCTCTTCTTAGGTCATCACATTTTGTATCTTTTACAAATTGACACAATCACTTAATACATGTTTATTTGGAACATTTATCCACATCATACACAGTGTTAGGATCTGAAGTTACAGCAGCAAATATGCTTGTTGGATTTGTTAGGAGGAAAAATTAGTAGGGGAAAGATTCTTAAAATATGATGAATTATTAATTATAAATGTTGTGTCTGGCTCTGAACATTTTAGAACTATTATGATATTATAGGAGAGATAGGTGCTCTTCCCAGTGTGGGTTAGGATTCCACACATAAGGCTTCTTCTGGGTCTCTGCCACTCTGTGTTCTCTGTGGTTTAGAGATAGTACATGTTAGATTAGAGCTTGTATGAGGCTGCTGTTTTGACTTGTGAATTTTCATTAAATGTGTGAGCTACTGCAATTCAGTTGTGAAGCTAGACTTTTCATCTCACCTCCCCCACACTACACACATGCAAAGAGAGAGAGAGAGAGAGAGAGAGAGAGAGAGAGAGAGGTTTCAGGATGTTAAAGATGCTGTGTGTCTACTAATTTGTAGAAGCAACTTTCTGCAGTTCCTCATTAGGTGTGGGTTTTTCCTCTGTTCATTCTGTTTACATAATATAGACTGTTGGGCCTCAAGTGCAAAGATGAAAATATATTTGAATGATACTCCCCATTAGTCAAAACATATTGCTTTATGGTTGTGTCTTATATTAGACAATCTATTCAAAACAGAGCCTGGGGTTTTACTCAACAATCAGCTTCATGCTCACTCATTTGTGGCCATGCTTCCATGCTGCTTTATGGCCATGGAAGAGTTTCATATAGCTCATTTATAAAATAATTCCATTGTTTTCCTTCTGCTCACTTTCTCACATATTCAAAGGTCTTTAGAGCTTATTTAGATTGAAAAACACCCACCATTTTATTCTCTGAATAGGATTTCCTAATTGAACAGTGTAGTTAACACCATCTTGTTCAAGCATCACTGAATTATCTGAGGGTGTCTAAACATTCTGAGCTAGTACATTTTTTCAGTGTCTTAGCTTTTCCTTTCCCCTTTTCTAAAGTTCTACCTTTGTTTCATCTCCTCAATTTTATTCAACAGGATTTGTAAGCATCTCCTTTTGAAGATGGCTTCTCTGACATTTTTAGATGAGGTTACTGCCCTACATTTTTATTCCTACACTCAAAACATGTGCATGGGTAAACACTGGGGGAAAGAAGGCAAGGTTCTCATGTTACACATTCATTTTCATGGCATTTTGTTGGGTAATATTATGTTTGTTTTGGAAAACACATCTTATTGTGTGGTGGTTATTTTGCATCAGAGAATTCTACTATCAGTGTCACATGACTGATTATACTGACCCAGTGTGTCTTTTTCTCCATGCATATTTGATCTTAGATTAGTTTTAAATGTTTTTGAACTGGATCCATTTGTTACCATGCTTAGAACATTAATACTAGGTATTAATGGCATAAAACTGGCAATGTTTTTTTTTTAAATTTCTCTCCAAGTCTGTTGAAATTGAGTACAATATTTACTTGAAATGACTATTTGAAGAATTTTTGAATGCATGACTAGAAAGGGACTATATGCACATTAGAGAATAGTTAAGAAAAAAACCTTCCGAATTAAATCCACTTCAAACAACCCCACCCACTGTCCTTCAGACCTCTCCAAATTCAACATGGCAGTTTGTCCAGTGCACAGTTGAGAGCAATACCATGATATTTTTCTTGTGTCCTCTTTATAATTTTCCTTGGGCTTTTTCCTTCCTGAAACTGCAGCTCCTATATAACTTCTTCTTGTTCAAATTTGGCTAGTCCTTCTGAACCCATCAGAGAAGAAGTGTTTGTGATAAACCTCTCATGATTTATTTGTTCAACAAATATTTGTCTGTCTGGCATGAATCAAGGCTGCTACTGCTCTATTCTGTTGTTTTTATTTTTATGAAAAAGGGACAGACAATAACCAGTGAGTAGGTAATAATAAGACAATGTGGGAAATATGCAAATTGACTTATAGAGTATTTGGAGAGGGAGGACTGATACTTTTTCAAGCTTGATCAGGAACACATCATCTTACAGGATGGAACATTTGTTTTTGAAGAAAGAGGTTGAAAGAGTAAATCTTGAGATGAAGCAGGAGAGGAAATTAAGGGAAGAACCCTTGGGCACACTAGCTGCATATGTTTACAAAATAGCCAAGTATCATGTGCCTGAAGAAGGGGAGGAAGCCATGGCTGCCTGTCTGTGGTTTCTGGTTTTCAGGGTGGTAGAGATCTAAAGGAAGGGAGGTCTGAGCAGTCATAAGCTGAGATGGCATGTGTTACAGAGATCTGTCATGGAAACCAGTAGAAAGTACAATTTCTAGTGATAAACACTGCTAGTGTATGGGATCAGGAGTCTGCTATGGACTATGGCAAAAGTCAGGGATAATCTTGTGAAATACAGAAAGTTACTTTGTTTTCTAAAGGAAAACAAGAAGTCACTTTTCAAAATCAGTGTTGTTAGCATTTTAGATGTAAAATTACCATAACTTAAAAAATGTTTTATGTATTATTTTAGAATCTCATAACAGCATTGTTATCATATATTTGTATTCTGTCCCCATCTCATCTCAGATCTTGGCCCAACTCCCTACCCATGCAACTTTGTGTTTGTGTTCTCTCTCTCTCTCTCTCTCTCTCTCTCTCTCTCTCTCTCTCTCTCTCTCTGTGTGTGTGTGTGTGTCTCTCTCTCTCCTCTCTGTCTGTGACTGTCTGTCTTGAGTGTGGGGCCTTTATTTGATTGTGGTATATATACTATGGGTCACTTCTTCGAAGAAACGGACATTCTCTCTCCTAGCACAGTGGCACTCCTATGCTAATAGCTCCTCATTTAGAGGGTGGGGCTTCATGTCCACCTCCTTTCCTCCGTGCTGGGATTTTGTCTGGTTTGAGTTTATGTAGGTCTTGTGCATGTTGTCACAATCTCTGTGAGTTTCTACGTGCTGCTTTGTGTCTGGAAAGCACAGCTTCCTTTAAGTCATTCACTGTCACTCTGGTTCTTAAACTCTCTCTGCCACCCTCCCCACTGCAGCACAGATCCCCTCACATTGAAGGAGGTGATGTGGCATAGACATCCCATTTAGGGCTCAGCATGCCAATCTTCATCTTCTCCTCACCTCAGCCTGTTATGGATGTCTTTGTTAATTGCCAACCTCTGCAAGAAGCGGCTTTCTTCTGAAACAGAGCTACCTTTCCATGTTGATTAGCCTCCCTAAACCTCATAACAGCCCTTTGACAAGAGGCCG